TCTAATAAGACTGAAGTTCTTCACAATTCCTGCAAATATGTTTAGCTATCTGGATGACTCGCTCTGTCTGCCCAATTGCTTTAGGACTAGATGTCGCATCTAGGACTAGATGTCGCAAATTTAAAGTTCCATTCTCCTTCGAGCCAAAAGGCATATTATCAGATACGACTTCCAAAGAAATCTCGTGAGTGGCGAACATAATCTTAAACAAATTTATTATTGATTATATTATTATATAATATTATTAATTTTGGACTGCAACTGACTCAAAGTACCCTCGATGCACATACGGTCACCGTTTTTCACAAAAAACCGTACTCAGTTGAAGTTTCTTATCCTGTTTAGTTTTAGCTATAAATTTTCCTCTCCTTTCTTCTGTTATATTTGATAGGTTTGTTCCAACCATGAATCACAGACAAGTTTCTGACAGTTTGTGGATTGTTCCCACTGCGCATGTCATCAAATATCTGACTTCCTGATTGATTAGTGATAGGTAGTTGGAACAACCGACAATTTGTCAATTGTCTGTTGTTTGTTGTCATATCCATCCTCTCATTTCTGCTTTTATTTTGTGATTGAGCGACTGACTGCTTACATACATTTTACCAAACGACTCAGTGTCAGTAATTTTTACAGATTTTAAATAAATACCCAATATATACCCAAATGATATAATTACGTTATCACTTTAAGTAAAACTCAAATAAAATATTTATATTGGTAAACAAACTTTAACCTAAGCGTTCGGCGTTCCCGACTAGGGTTGGGTTCATAGAACAATTTGTAAACAGTAAACAGAACCGTTCCGTTGACAATTGACAAACCAATCGACTATTAAACGGTACTACGCATGCCCCAAATTTCTTGTCCAAAGAAAATCCGCAAACTGTTTTGACTGTCAGCAAACAAGTTGTTGGTGTGGTTGGAACAGAAAACTATTTGCTTGCTGACTGTTTGTAATTTCGGTTGGAACGCTTTTATGTTATTGCGCAGAATCCTGACGTCTGCAACTTGTTTCTGACTCTGGTTGGAACAAAACTTATATATGCACGATTTCCGTTATCTGCAACTCCCCAACTTCCGTTTCTAATACAAAAGCATTATCCTCTACCTTTTCCTACAAAAAATTTCGAGACAACAAAACAGAATTTCCTCGTCTGGCTTATATTCTACAGTTGAAGTCATATTTTAATAATTTCACCTTTATACGTTGTGGTCAAGGAGAGGCTACTTCTGCTATGCCTTTCTTCATGATCGAAATGTGGCTTAATATGATCTGTTAAAAATTTCCCTACCATATATAGAATTTTGAAATTAAGTACAAGAATATAAGATTGCATTTAGTTCCTTTTCAATCTGGCTAAATCTAGTTTTACAATCGGTTAAAGATCTAGAAGCAAAAGATACAGGTTTAAGATTTTGTAATAATACACATCCAACACCATTTTGACATGAATCTGTTTGAATTATTATTGGATTATTTTCATCAAACTTTGTAAGACTGGTGGTGAGCAAATTAACTTTTTTATTAAATTAAATGAGTCTGTGTGACTTCTAGTCTACATCCAAATTGTATTTTTTTTTAACAATTCTCGTAATGGGGCTGATACATCCAATAAATTTAATATAAAATTGCGATGGTAATTGATCATGCCCAGTATTCTTTGTAACTCTTTTTTATTATTGGGTTCTTTCAAATTTATAATAGCTTTAACTTTATCTAAGTCAGGTCTCATATCATTTTTATCGAATGTATTTCCCAAATATTTTACTTCAGACATTCTATATTCTGTCTTATTAGGATTAAATTTTACTCAAATATTTCTAACACGTTCTAATACTTTATTAAGGATTCTATTATGTTCTTTAAAACTATCTGCAAGTTTTAAAAATTCATCAAAATAGATGAAACATCCATAAATATCACCAAAGTTTTCTAACTTAATCCTTTAAAAAAATTCAGGAGCAATATTTAATCCGAATGAAAGTTTATCAAATTTCCAAATTCCAAATATATCTCTTCAATAGTAGATATTAAACAATATTCCTTTTTCAGTACTTGGTTTAAATCTCTAGGATCCAAAAAAAATCTTAATGTTTTATCAGGTTTTTCAACTATAACTAAATTGGTCAACCACTTTATAGGACCCTCATATTTAGATATTTTTTTTTCACGTTTTTCTTAATCAAACAGTTGATTTTCTAATCTCCCTTTAATGGCTAAAGGGATCCTTCGGGATCAAAATTTTCTTTTAGTTAAATTTTGAACTTGAATTTTAGTTTACATCTTAGGACATTTATTTTTTAGGACATTTACCTAATCCATCAATACTTTTTTTTAATAAAGTCATCTTTTGTTATATTTAAATCTATGTTATCTACTCTTTGTATCAAATCTAAATCTAAATAGATTTTAAACCTAAAATTGACATAAGATTATCTTTAACTATAACAAAATCTAGTTGAAATATTTTCCTTTAAATAAACATTTTAGTGTAATAATACAAGCAGGTTTTATTTTGAGTAAAATAACCTACTAACATAAGTAGATTGATATAATGTTTACCTATGAACCTGTATCTATTTTAAAGTCTGTTCCAGATTGCCTAATTACTATCCCTTCAAACCATTCCTTATTTTCTTATTTTTCATTTACCTCAATTGATGTTACCATAAATTCTTCCTGTTCACTATCCATATTTACTTTTGAATCTCCTGAACTTCTCTTACGATCCTCTTGTTACATATTTTCTCAAAATGGTTGTAATACAGCCTTATTGGGCAATTTTTACTTGCTCAATAAGGCCTTGCCACTGGTTAAGAGGTAAATTTCAAATGACTGTTTGAATCACCAAAAGTTTATAGTCAAATTACCTTTAAATGATAATGGTTGATGTATTCTAAACTTCATATTGTTCTAATTATAACAACTTTTTGTTTTCGTTTTAGTTTGGAAGCAGCAGGTTCAAGCACCACACGACTGCACCATGTAATAATGTTAAATACCGACTTGTACATCTTTATTACTTTCTTGTATAATGATAATCTATTCTAATATGCTTAACCTTTATTTCTGCCATGAGACCTCTTGCCGCCTATCCCATGTCATGGTCCTGTCAGGAGTTTACATTCATGAACTATTCAGTCTCATAACAATAGAAGAACATAGTGTGGCAACTAGATTTAAGAAATAACAATGGATGACTGAGGAAATACTAGATCTTATGGAACAAAGAAGATAATGTAAGGACAAAACAAAAGAAAACAAAGGGAAATAAAACAAAAAATATGAACGGCTAAAGAAAGGAGGATGGCGGGTAGATGTTCAGAAATAGAAAAGAAAAATAAGATGTTGATCATGCAATTAAATATTTTTACAAGCACTGCCTACACAGCTTTTCCAAAACCAAAACAGCTTTTCAAAAAAAAATTTTGCAGACCTGTGTTCTTATATTAAACTTTATAGGCAAAGACTAAAGAAAATTATAAAACTTACCTTTAATATATATGCATTTTTATGATAATAACATATTTTAAATAAATATAAATAAATAGAATGAAAGTGAAGCAGAATGCCATGAACCTACTCAAGTAATACGAAAAATAGGATAGATAAAATTTCACAATAGAAATCCTCGAAAACGTATATGGAAAGATCAAGAAAACGATGAAAAAATAGTGTTTACTAGAATATTTACATTAACGACTAATGAAGGTCATGCACTTTCCCTAGAAGACGAAGTAATGGAGGAATGGGAAAACTACATTAAAGCATTTAAGGATGATCGAGGATCACTACCTAACTTAAGTGCAAATACAGGACCATCAATCTTAAAAGCTGACGTGGAAAAAGCCATACACCAAGCCAAAAACAACAAAGCCAGTGGACCAGATCAAATATACAGCGAATGGCTAAAATTACTCTCAAATGACAATATAAAAGAACTCACTGTACTTTTTAATAAAATATATGATACCAGTGAAATTCCATCGGACTGGTTAAAATCGATCTTTATTCCTCTACCTAAGAAACCAAACGTTAACAAATGTAGCGATTGTAGACTCATTAGTTTAATGAGCCATGCCGTTAAAATACTGTTGCATATTCTTCTAAACCGAATTAACAACAAATACGAAGAAATAATTAGTCAAGAGCAGTTCGGGTTCCGGAGATGCCTTGGAACTAGAGAAGCACTATTTTCTATGCAAACACTCCTTCAACGATGTTGGGAGGTAAGAAAACCCGTATATATGTGCTTCATTGATTTTGAATAGGCATTTGATCGCGTTCAGCATACCAGACTAATTACCTCCTTGCAGAGCATCCAACTAGATGAGAAAGACATCAAACTTATTGCCAAACTTTACTGGAACCAAACAGCCATTATTAATACCAACAACAGAGAATCAAAGCCAATCAGTATTGAACGAGGCGTAAGACAAGGCTGTATACTATCTCCCACCCTCTTTAACGTGTATTCTGAGAATCTATTTAGGGAAGCTTTAAAAGATCAAAAAGGAATTATCATAGGAGGAGAAATAATTAACAATATACGGTACGCCGACGATACTGTGATTTTAGCTGAAAACATCGACGATCTGCAGGAGCTAATCAATAGAGTTGACATGGAATGCACAAATTAGGGACTGTCGATAAATATCGATAAAACTAAATACATTTTGACCAGTAAAGTGGATATCGGCGCAACCCAACTGATATTAAACCAACAGCCGCTGCAGAGAGTTCAGAGATTCAAATACCTTGAATAGAAGAAGAATATTTTTTTCGAGTGAATTCATTACGTACATTTTATAAAATTTGTACTTAATTTCCTGTTTACCACCAAAATTTTGAGTACACATTACCTGATTAAATGAATATCATTATCAGATAGATAACTGTCGAGCCACCTTATAAAATTTCAAGATAAACGCCACTGAAATAATTTACTTATATTCTATATAAATAAAGAGATTGTAAGATCCTTATTATTTAAATTTTTCGCTCGTCGAGTAATAACGTTCATTAGCTCATTTAGTAATATAGTGTTTATTTAGTTAAGTTAAAATGTTTTTATCACATTACAGAATGGTAGAGGGTCAACCCCTACAATATTACAACCCCTACGTTGTAGAAGATACCGATCAGTATTCATATTTTCAAAGATTTAGTCCTTTCACCACGATGTCTGAGCTTTCGGATGAAACTTTGCCACCTGCTTCACCAGCCAGTACACAGGTAAATTCTACTCTTTACTATTTTGAGTATTTCTTCGCATTAAGAATCATTAAACGTGTAGATAAGTCAATAAACAATAAATACCTTTTTTTAAACTCTATAATAATATTTTCTTTTTCAATATAGGATGAAACGTTTCATGTTTCATCTGATACAACGCTTGTATTTGTGCCCTTATATGCTTTTTGAAACAAATAACACCATTATTATTCATACCAGTTTCAAGATTTTTAAATATATATTTAATAATCTTTCAGAAGCAGAAATCTATCTTCCTACCTCGTTCATTTGGTTCAAATTCTATTTTATGTGTATTAATCCTTGTATTATAATAATTCCTGGATTATGAATGCAATCGGTATTACGGAATTCCCCTTATATTCTCTTTGTAGATTTGCAACAATACAGAATAATTAACCACAGTGAACCGCTTTATATTAATTACGTATGTCCAATACCACAAAAGACAAACTTTAAACAATATCGTTTTTAGATAGATTAATATTTGGTTAATATTTGATAGGTTACTTGTTCTTCTTGAAATACATAGTTATTCGGCAAATACTTTTCTTGTGCTTTCTAAAATATTCACAACTAGCAAGAATGTTTTCTTATATTTTTCTAATCGCCTAACATTGAAACTCACCTAAGTGAAAATATCTAAGTAAGCTTGTATAAAAATGCTATTCAATAAAAAGCAAGTTGGTTCTGATTCACGTGTTTGATGGTCGTAATTTTCACAATTTTTCAATTTTACCATCTCATCCTCATATTGCAATAATTTATTCAAGTCAATAATAAAAGTGTTATACCTTCCAGAGCGACAGTGAAAACTCTGTGTCAAGTGTCGAAATTCCCCACAAGGAACTACGTCTCTCCAGTCATATAATAAAATCCTCACAACTGTCAACTGATGTGCAGTGCCAATGGAGGTCTTGCGGAATCATGTTTTCATCTTTGGACCAACTGGCATCTCACGTCTCAAAAGTTCACTCTGCCAGTGGGTTGGGGGGATTGTTCTACTGTGGATGGGAAGGATGCGTTAGGAACAATAAAGGATTTAATGCAAGGTAGGTCTTTATAAGTTAATAAGTTTAATATCTCCCATTTCAGACGATAATTAGTATTATGATATGAATTTATTTTTCAATATGATCAATAAACGGTCTTAAGTTGTTTATATAAATGCAGGCGGCTTTTCCAAGGCTATCAGAATGACCCATTATTTTCAATAAATGTTTGTGAATACCCTTCATATTTGGTTTAAAAACAAATTTTGGTCAAGAGTTGCACTTTCTATAGCCAATAAATTTAGTTGAACGCTATCTCATAAAAAGAGTAGGTTAGGAGAGCTGAAAATTGTGATAAGAGTTAAATGGAATAAATATTGTGAATTAAACTTTAAGATACATACAGTAAGGAAACTGTAGAAACGGATTTTCTTTACTCAAGGCACTGCCGTGCTCCGATCAACAGGTTTTTAAATTTTGAGTGATGGCGCCACTGTTAGCTTAATATAGCTAGCAGTTGCGTCATCACTCAAAGCTTAATAGAAATATAGCTATGAATACCTAACCTATCCTAACCTAACAGCGGCGTCATCACCTACAATTTTAAATGGTATTTACCCAAGCACGCCTATGCCTTTAGTTAAAGACACCCGTAGAGACACATAACACATGCCCTTTAAAAAAAGATAGAGGTAATGATGAAAAAGATGTAAAAAACCATACCAATGATTTTATGTTTTAAAAGTATTTACTTAATGTATTTTTCCAAAAAATAAATCGTATGATTTAGATTCTAGTTCGATAATAAAACATTTCAAGTGGTTTATTGAAGTATTCAAGTGCAATCCTTTTTAAAAAATAAGTGCATTAGGCAGTGCATTTGTACTTGTTCCACCAAGATATCATTATTATAAAATTAATTTAATTCGTATCTAAATGACTGCATTTAATTCACATATCACAAAAATTGATTATTTATTCCTGAGTAATGGTACAGTACACAAGTAGCAAATGCTATCTTTAGGAAATTTATGTTGACCATATGATATAAAACGGTGCATTTTACTGATCAACAGCAATATGGAGAGATCACGTGGATAAAGAAATGAAAAAATATATAGAATAGGTATAACCAACATAGATAGGAGGATCTTGTCCTTAATGTGGGTAACGGCAGACGAGAGTGAAGATAGGCACAGAAATTATAAGTGTACATGGTAAATTGTGGAAACGTCTCTAGAGTTTAGGTAGAATATAGGTGAAGAAGAAGAGAACCTTAAACTCACCATAAGAAAGATTCTATCGAATACACAGTAAATCATGGTGGAGTTTAATGAAAGGATGGGGTTTTGTACAAAGATCTCACGTCACGATCAAGTCTATGGACCAGTGGAATGGAAGGGGAAAGGCAAATGAACAAAGATGAAGAAAAGACACAAATAAATTAATTGATGCAGTAGTACTACAAAAGTTTATTATTAAGAAATCAGGACTAGGGGCCTTCCACAACGAAACTGTTCATTCACTACATCTTCAATATAAATCTGGATAATTTTTTCAAAATGTCTAGATATGGGTGATCCGATAAACTGCTTGTATATGTTTTATTCATATATAAATTTCTCCTTGGGTGGTATGATATATTATCAGTTAATTGAGTTGTTAAAGTACGTACACTTCAGATGAATTTCAAATGTAAATGATTCAGGTGTAAACAAAATACTAATGGGTACATACTACTACGTACGATGAAAGGTGCATGTGTACTAGTAGAAGTATATCTGACATATCATTGCCTTAGTAAGTGCTCTTACTGATAATTACTTAATTTACTTTGATACTTTTGATGTAGGCAATCAAGATAATAAATAATAGGAATTGTATCAAAGTTCATACTTATTCAATTCATTACTAAATTACTTATACGCCATTTTAGCTCATTTTTTATTATTATAAATGCAAAATTAAATTGCACGGATACTGCTATCCATACTACCCCGTCCTGTATTGTCAAAAATATTAGTTTGTCCATTGTTTTCCAATTGTTATCAAATGGAAATATTTTCTTTATTAAATTGGTATCGGAACTAAATTTTATTTTATTCGGTAATAAAAACAAAGTAATATTGGTTTTTTTTGTTTCAGATATAAGATGCTCGTTCACGTCCGCACTCACACAAACGAAAAGCCCCACAAGTGTTTCCAGTGCGACAAATCCTTCTCCAGAGCGGAAAACCTGAAAATCCATTCACGGTCGCATAGCGGAGAGAAGCCTTACGTGTGTCCAGTACCAGGATGTAACAAAGCCTACTCGAATTCCAGTGACAGATTCAAGCATACGAGGACTCATCAGGTGGATAAGCCATACCAGTGCAAAATCCCCGGTTGTCCAAAGCGATATACGGATCCAAGTAGTTTAAGAAAGCACGTTAAAACGTATAAACATTTCGTTAATGAAAACCAAAAAACTGAAAATAAAAAGACTGTAGAACAAATGGTAAATGAAAATAGGGTAGAGGACAGACTGCCCAATCTGGAACCAATGTTTCGAGAGAATGTTATCAGGCACCCCTGTGATTGTAATAGAGTTTGCTGTGTTACGAAATGTATGAGTAGCAGGTCTGAATTATTTAAAATAGGTAATTTAATTAATCTTAATGATACCGTTAAAAGTAGTCAACCGTGGAATCAGTTCACAGAACCGTTTAGTATAGAGCCTAGAAGCGTTTATATACCATACGATGAATGTATGCAAATCGATGGACCTTTAGATTTAAGTTTACACAGAAAAGAATTCTAATAGTAAATATTGGAATCGTTTCAACGGACTGAATTTTTGTATTGCGTTATGTCTAAAATGTGTGTTAAGTATCATGGCAATAATGAAATGTGATATTTTTTATTTATAATTTGTTTTTAATAAAAGATAATTAATATTTTATGAATGTGTTTGATTCCTAATTTAAATTCAAATTGTATAAACAATGAAAAAACTTTACTGACCTGGAAGTAGATTCTGATAAACATATTGCAGTAGAAATTACTAAAAAAAAGCAAATAAGACAACAAAAATAACAGAATTTATGGTAATGATAGTCCCTTGACGAAAAAGTACCCATTAAAAATCTCTTAGACAAGGAAAGAGAGAGGACATGTAACACTCATTTAATAAACCTTCTCAAACTTAACCCAGTTTTGATGTGACCGCCCTGTTTTGACGCCTCTACGTTGCCCATTACTGCCCCTCGCAGAGCTACCAGATCTACTGATTGTTCAGTAGAGCTAAGAATTTCAACTTGAATTTACCGATTGACTGAAAGACTATATCGATTACATGGTTTCAACCAACAAGGAATCTTAAGTCTATAATAGATTACGTGATAGTTAAACAAAATTCACAAATACTCATTAGAGATATTAGAGCTATGAGAGGAGCAGTATGCGGATCAGATCACCACATGGTCAGGGCAAAAATTGTTTTCCCATATAGATTAAAGGACAGTGTTTCATCAAGCCAAGACGAACAACTTTTAGAAAGAATTGATCTTCCTCAATACAATATGTCCAGTTTAATTCATGAGAGCTCCCGTACACTATATAAGACTCGAATGGACTTCAAACTTGACGAAACACTAACAAATACCAAATGCATATATGAGAACATAATATCAAGTATTCATCAAACAGCACAGGAGGTCTTAGGGATCAAACAAAATAAAATTAGTAACAAGCTTTGGTGGAATGAAGATGTCGAAAATGCGGTAACAGAAAAGAAAGGATTATACCATAAGTGGTTGAATACAAAAGATGACGCAGACAAAGACCGATATAATGAAATGAAGAAGAAAACTAGAAAGATAATTATGACCTTCAAAAATGAGACATGGGACAGAAGGTGCAGAGAGATAGAATCTTATATTGGAGGACGACAATGGACTGAGGCGTGGAAGTTTTTAAACTTTGTTAAGAAGCCGACTAACGAGAAAGTCCCATAAATCCCGAGAATTGGACACATTATTACAAACATCTATTAAATGAGAACAGAGACGAATTTAAAGAAGATATGAATTCATCAAGAATCGAAATTCTGGGAGAGCATATTACCATAGATATCAACAGAGTTCAAAAAGCTATAGCAGGGATAAAGAATGGGAAAGCAAGTGGACCAGAGGGAGTAACTACGGAATTAATAAAGAATGGCTCAGAGAAATTACACAGAATAATCACGGTGATATTTAACGAATATATTAATGGAGATCCAACACCAGATGAATGGAAAACAGCATATATGACCCCAATATATAAAAAAGGCGACAGGAGAAATTGTAAAAACTATAGAGGGATATCGGTCACAAGTTCAATGAGTCGACTATACGGTCGAATACTACGGGACCTGATAGAGGAAGATTATCAATCGTCTGAAGGAGGATTTAGAGCAGGTCGTTCATGTACGGATAACATCTTCTGTCTTAAACAAATTATAAAAAAGAAAATTGTGACAAATAGAGAGTTACATATGACTTTTGTAGATCTTGAGAAGGCATATGACACAGTCCCGCTTAATAAACTATGGGAACTCCTGGGCACATCAAACATACCTACATCAAACATTCATCAAATGAAATTCGGAAACCTCTTAGCTGAAAAATTTGCAGTTACTAAGGGTCTCAGACAAGTATGTTGTATCTCTCCGACTCTATTTAAGATTTATATCTCTGCAGCTCTGAAACAATGGAAAAGGAAAGTCAAAGGAATGGGTATACAATTGGACGATCAGGATTACATATATACTTTACAGTTTGCAGATGATCAGGTGGTGATCTCAAATGACAAAGACGACATGGAATACATGCTTAGAAAACTAATTGAAGAATACCAGAAATGGGGATTAAATATGAATTTTGAAAAGACAAAATACCTCTCAATTGGAGCTGAAGCAGAACAACTCGATATCGATTACAATCAAAAAATAAATCCACGAACGAGAAATAGAACATCGAATTGTACAAGCACGAAGAGCTATAGCATGTTTGAACGGAGTTCTATGGAGTAAAGAAATATCAAAGAAAAGAAAATGGAACGTCTATGAGACAATTGACAAAACGATGATGTGGCAACCCCCAGAGAAGAGGAAACGAGGAAGACTACCACAGAGCTGGAACCTGGGAGTTAGGAAAGCGATTAGCGCTCGAAATCTGGACGAAGACCTAACTCAAGACAGAATACAGTGGCGTTTGGCAGTCGGACAACCTCGAAAGACGTTATAAAACCGAATATATATATATATATATATATATATATATATATTATATATATATATATATATATATATATATATATATATATATATATATATATATATATATATATATATATATATAGTAGTTTTGAGGTTCTTGAACCGTATTATATTTAATATAAAATTAGTGTTTCTTGGGTGTAGGTTCAATAAATACATATTACATGTGGAACTAGATTTTATTTTCCATAGAAATCAACGTTTCGGCAGGAAACCCTTGCCCTTGTCAAGATTCTAAAATGTACGTGTATAAGAACAAACAGATATTGTGAAATATTTGTTAGTTGTTCGGATAAACCTTTTATATATGGAAGAGTTGTATATGTAGTTTTAATACTGTTGGGTTTGTTGTTATTTGTATTGTTATAAAATATATTGAGTCTTGATTTGAAAATGGTTTCGATTAGATGTTCGGGATATGCATACTTTAGAAGGGCATATTTTGCTTTTTTCATTGCAGTTGATCTGTATTCTGGATCTGTTAGTTGTTTAGATTTTCAGCGAGACTTATAAGTACAGACTTCTTATGGATTCAGATTCTCATCATCCAATTTCACAAAATATTACAAAATAATTTTTTCATTTTTATAAAGGTAGACCTGGCAATTTCAATACGTCTTTTTATCTCGTGATTTTGGTCACCTGTTTCATTGATGAGGGTTCCCAAGTATTTGTATTCGTTTACTTTTTCAAGTTGGGTACCGTTTATTGCGATACTAGTGTCATGTATTGGATTCTTACTGAAGGTCATATATTTGGTTTTTTTGACGTTCATCCTCATTTATTTAGACTTTGTCATAACCTGTTTATTTTTCTTAGCGTCCTAAACACTTTTTCTCCATCGTATAGATCTTCACCAATTTCGGGTGGGGAAGGATGTTTGTTTAACATTACTACAGAATAATAAACAATCAGAATGCCCACAAATAAGTACGCGCATCTCGTTTGCGTAGACGGAATTAGCCATGTTTTAAACGGAACCAGTGCTGTTCAGTGACATTTTATCCGGTGTGCATAGAAAAATTAACCCGGTTTAATTTATTTACGTCAACTAATATACACTATTTTATTCGTACTTTTAGTTAAAGAATAGATTAAATTTTTTCAAATGTACTAAATTATTAATCTCTAAAAATTTAAATTATAGTGCTGGCATAGCTTGTCACAAACTTCTCAATTCGAGTCTATGTTTCCGTTTAAAATATCGGTCAAAAATAATAATAATAATCGGCCAATAAATGGCGATCGCGTGCCAACAAACTTCAAAGGCGGCATCTGAGAATGGGCATTCTGATTGTTATTTATTCTGTGACATTACCTTTGGTTATCTTATTTTTTATTTGTTCGTTGGTAAAAATCGATTATTATCGATTCGAATAAAATCGAATTTTATGTTTTTTATACTCACTCTGTAATCTTTTGTCGAAGAATAGAAATTAGATTAGTTTGATATGGCATCAGACCATGGACGTATAAATACGTCCATGCATTAGACTACATTAATAACTGAAGCTGACAAATGTTTTTCTATTGTGGTTAGAGATTAAATTCTAAAAAAAATAGTTTTTGGAACTGAGAGCAAATATAAAAATATTATTATTAATAATAATAATTTTCAATCATTTCAGAACTAATTACCAGATTTTTATTTCAACTTAAAATTTGTTTTGATGGCAATTGTCTTACTTAAATAAATAACTATTTTGTGTGGAATTATACCAAGAAAAATAAGCACATTGTCTTATGTGCATTTTTGTTATTTAAAAAATAAGAAAATTTTACAAAGACGTCAACACAAACAAACAAGTTTGTAAAACAAATGTAGTATCATCAATCTTATATATTAACCGGAATTTTTTACTTTCTTATCGGTGAATACACTTCTTGGAATTTTTTTCGTAATACAAATATTTTAATCAAAATAATACCTACACTACTCAACAAAATATGAACAATTCAATTCTTTTTGTAATTAATTGCCATTTTCCACCATAATAATCGAAGAACGTTTATAAAAAAAATTGTCTAAATAACAATTCGTCGCTTGGATGCAGAAGTAGCCTAAGTCACAAAATGGTAATTTTACAGGAGAGCGTTTTTTTGTTTTTTTTTTCAAAATATTATAAAATTCTTTTATCATAAAATTGTATAACAATGTTTAAGAAGCTACTTTCCCTACAGTTCATTGCTTTCATGATAAAAGCCACGTTCTAAAAAAAAAGATGGACATAGAATAGTAAAGTCTCAACTAATATAGGTCTAACTGGTAAGCTGGTTTTGTATGTTTTCAATAAAATTGATAGTGTGTAAAATACTATTTTACACACTATCAATTTTATTGAAAACATACAAAACCAGCTTACCAGTTAGACCTATTTAGAAGTGTGTACAAGTCTTACAGTCTTTTTCAATTCAACTAATATAGTCTATGTCCAAATTGGGACATACTTACATGGAAGTACTTAGGCTAGTTCTGATTAATCCATAATATTAATAATCTAATCATGTCGTAGGTATAGGTATAAATTATTTTAACAATAACAGTGTACTTACTCATAAATCGTATATTGTCGGCTTTAAGGTTTAACAAATCAGAAGTTTAACAAATCAGTTAAAATTAGGAACTGAAATTAAACAATTAT